TCTTTAATAACAAAAAATAAACTTTATGCAAAATAATAATAATAATAATAATTGTTAACGGGTGTTAACGGGTGACTCGTTAGCTTAACGGGTTGAGTTCGGATGACCCGTTAACTTAACGAGTTGGGTTGAACCCTACCCAAACCCAATAAATCCGACCCGTTTACAGGTCTACTGAGTTATTTAATTAAAGAATTGTTATTAGTACTTCGAAAATCTTATTCTATATTATCAATAAGTGTATTTTTCATTCTAACTTTAAAAAGTTTAGAATACTAAATGAGATGTTTAGAGTGTCAATAATAATTTCCTTTTAACCCATAAGGTTTTACTAGTTGTTTCCCTCCCTCCAAAATTCCAAATTCATAGGGTTAGCGTTGGCTTGCTCAAGAAATCATATTTAATTATAATTAAATTAATGTTAATGGATAAATAGATAAACCGCATTTGCCTCTGCCTCTGAAAGCAAGGTAGAAATAGAATGGTGGTCGTGGTTGGTAGAAATTTTTCATTATACTCAGAATATGAAGTAGCACAACATATTTTATTATGCAAGTGGAGGGACGTTTAAAAAATAAAACTTTCTTCAATCTATAATGACTTGTAGTGCAACACCTAGAGCTTACTGAAAAATTTGTCGTGGTTGGAACTTGAGAGGGCACTTGTGGCCTGTGGGGATGAGGTTTGACCACCGTGCCTGCCTGCCTGCCACCTGTCTCTCTATGACTGCGAGTGGTGGTTGATGGACAAATGGGCCACAAATGGGCCAAATTTGGTATTAATTTGAGGCGGAGGAGGGAAGAGGTGTTGGACATCCATAAAACCATCCATCAGTCTTACGGACCCCACAACCATAACCACTTGTTTTCTTCCATGTTAAGTTATGAGCTAAAAGGCGGACAGGTGTCTCGCGTCCTTCTCAAACGCGGTTTTGCATATTACATCACATGTCCATATCTACGATTCTTTTCTACATAAATACCCATTACCCAGCAATTTTATATGTTATCAAAAACATGGAAACATTAATTTTATAAAAAACTAAAAAAAAAAAAAAATTTATTTGAACTTGTATAACCTCTTTCTACATTCAACTTAAACTTTAAATGTGAATTATCCTTTTTATCTTATTGCATGATTACCATTAAGTACAAAATAAAATTAATAATAAAATGAAATTTATCAATAAACTCACATCATATAATGTTTATCCTATGTTGGCTAAAACCCTACATTGATCCTACGTTGAAATGCTTTTTTTTTCTCGTTTGATTTCTATTTTTTATAGTGTTGAGAAGATGAGAGTTTTTGAGTTTCAATCAACACATAAAGTTGAGAAGATGGGTTTGGGGGGTTTGGGTTTCGCTGTGTAGGTGGTGGCGAAGCCTCACTTTGGACTTAAGACTATATTCTTGGTTGAATATTTCAAACGGAAAAGAAGTAGTTTCCCAGCTTGAGAAGGAGGTGAGTGTTCCCGACGATAAGTCACCTCTAAGTATAACACATCATCTCCATGGTAGAGCTTGGCAAGCTCATCCTCCACCGCTACGGGCCACACAAATTGTGCATCACCATTCTCTACACCTATGACAGCTTCGTCGATACCCCTAGCATTCCCGCCTAACAGCCGCATATCACAATATCTGCATAGAAAGAAAAGTTAATATTAGTTTATTTTCTATGGTGTTTTAAGTATAGACATATGAAAGCATGTACTTTATGCTTATGCAAATACAATCATGGGGGACATGGATGTCAAGAAAGTATATGGAAGATTCGTAAACAAGTAGAAATTTCACCAAATTATTCAATTGAGATTTTATTTTTTAAATGGGTGTAAAGATAAATTCACATTTTCAATTGCGTTAGTGAGGGTAAATTTAGGGAACTTTAACGAAAAGCTCTCGGTACTGTTCACTTTAACGAAAAATCATATTTTTACACTAAAAAGTCAATCCTGATACTATTCACTTTACCATTTATTTTGTCCTTATCGTTAAAACTCAAAGTTTTCAAGCCCCTTTCATTAGTTTTCTTGTAAATTTAGGTATAAAATTGGGTTTAAAGAAATATTACTACTTTCATTAAAAATAATATGGGTGTAGAGAGTAAGTTTGGTGTAGAAAGGGGTTATATGAGTTTAAATAAAATTTTCCCTCAAAAAACTATCTTAATTATTCACTTATAAGTCACAAGTCTCACTCATCCCTCCCTCAATACAATAATGCAATGTTCTTTAGATTTTAAAACTCAAATGCAAGCACTAGATTGTCAATTCATCGTGTTTCGAGTTTAAACTCTATTATTCTTTTCGTAAGTTCTAATTAATAGTATCGTTCACAATAAAAACTAAAATAACTCAATCTCGTGCAAATGTTGCTTAAAATCAAAACAAGAACTTAGATAGATAAAGTATAAATAAATAAATAACTCTAAAAACCGTGTGTCGAAAGTACTTGTAATCCGGCTAATCAATCTTGTTCATGCATTGGGTTTATGTTTGTTCGTTTCCTCATTTTCTCTAAAGCAAGAATGACTTGCAAAGAATTGAGTACACTTTCTTAATGTCATGTGAGTTGTTCTTTCTCTTAGCATGCAAATAATACCAACTCTTTGTTCGGAGGCCATTAATTTGATTCCGACAAATTCTTGTATCTAAATCTATATTCTTATGTGGGATATTAATTAGAGTTACAAATATGTAATGTGAAGGTATATGATTTGAACTCATGACCAATTATATATTTCAGTTCGGTAAAAATTGAAACAAAATGTTATTTAACACTACGATCTAGTACTATTTTTTTTTATATAAAAAATGAAAAGAGAAAAGCAGTGGTATTTTATATAAAGAAGATTATACACAAGGGACCCAGCACCACCGTGGGGAGGAAACTTTTTTCTTGTATCGCAAATGGCAAGTGCTCCAAAATTAGTAGTAGAATCGTATAAAGGGGGAGGGCATTGCAGGGATTAACTGAGTGAGACACAAAGGTATTAGAAAAAAGAGGAAATAGGGTAAAGATGAGATGAGGACTAGGTGGGGTTGGATTATGGATATAAATATAATGACCATGGACCACGCCTTTACCTTCTTCTTCTTACCATCAACCAACTCTGCTCAACTCAACTCCTCAATCATCAATTCATCTTCTTCTTCTTCTTCTTTTCACTACTACTCAACAGCTACCACCACTAGCTAGCTATCCATTCCTCAAACGCTTTACCTCGCCAGCGGCAGCGGCAGCGGAGGAAGAGGAAGTCCGGAGAGTCAAGACAGACTGACATACACACACACATATATATGATGGCGTCGGATGAGAGTATGACCATCCGCTCTTGCATCTCCATGCAGGAAGACGAGTATGACGACGGTGATACCGATGACGGGTATGATCATCATTATTTCCATCACCACAACTTGTCCAGGCTTTCCATGTGCACTCGGAGTCGGAGTTCCACCTATGACGACTATGATGACGACCAAGATATTATTATTGCTGATGAGGAGGAGGTTGCTACCTACGCCCTCGACTACTACCATCAAGGCCAACAGCATCAAGATCAAACTCATGCCCGGCAACAAGTTATGACTATGCAAATGTCGCTCTTGTCCATCGAAACCCTTGACGATGGTTATATAGACGACGAGGAGAACGACACATCCTATCACAAACGGCCCAAACAAGTCCTACCAGAAGCTGGCCTCGCATCCGACTCCGACGGGGAACCCGGATGCTACTCGCTTCCCTCAACACCCCCAAGGCGAAGGCGGACTCAAGCTGCTGCTGCTCCGGGCCAACTGTTCAGTTATAAACATCCCAATCCCTTTTTGGTCAAAGAGTATGCCAGCGAGAATGAAGACCAAACAGCAACGAGCCACCATCCCAAGAGGAGCAGGAGGAGAATAGTGAGGAACCGACACTCATGGCTATCGGCATCACCAGAGAGAGGAACCCTTGCTACGAAGAAAGATGAAAATGACAAGGACGAGGACAATAAGGAGAGCATGAAAATGATGATGATGAGGATGTGCACTATTAGTAATCATCAGCAGCAGCTTGATCATTGTCACAGCTTTAGCGGGGAGAGTGATCAGGGCGGCACTAGTGGTCCAGGTACAGGGGTGGTGGTCATAACCAGGCCCAAGGGAGGGAGGAGGTCCCTCTGCATGGACTTGGACGAAGTAAAGGCTTGCAGAGATCTTGGATTTGAGTTGGAGCACCACCAGATGTTGCACGAGACGCCCTCCCGTCTTTCTCACTCCGTCTCCACCGTCGACACGAACACTGCCTGCAGTAGCGGTGCCAACTCCCCCATTGCTAACTGGCGCATCTCCAGCCCTGGTATGTATGCCAGACCTCGAGTTGCTTCTTTTTGAAATTTTGAGTTCTAAACTGCATCATCCCAAGTACTAAATGTCTCTGCTTCAGGTGACGACCCACGGGAAGTCAAGGCTCGACTCAAGGTCTGGGCGCAGGCAGTGGCACTGGCATCCACATCACGACCAGGAAGCTGAGCTAGCTGACTCATTCACAAAAAAATCGTCTATCATCTCAGTTTTGATTTCTTAATAGGTATTTAGTTTACTCCTGAGTCCTGACACTTTTGTTTGAGTACAGAACAGAACAATGAGGCATTTCGGGTCCGCAGGGAGAGTTCCCAGTATGGGGATTGAACATAGTGATAGTATAGTAGTAGCCTTTCCGCTAAGCACATTTTTCTTTCTTCTGCCTTTTGGGTAGATTCTTCCTGTGAGTGTCGGAATTTATGATTGACGCTCCATCTGTATCGAGTTCACCATCTTTCGCTCGTACCTCTGCAGCTTCTCCACATTGTAAATACGACACGATCAATGATTGTCTCATGATGGTAGACTTAGATACACGCTTGATTAAGTTTATCGTGTATGAAAGATTTGGAAGTTTCAGATTGGATATTGATTTAAGTATATATCCTAAATAGGATTGGCATTGATATTGTATTAGTTATGCAACATGTATCCAAAAAATTTCTCCTCTCTGCGTAGTCCTATTATTGTCCAAAAATGTTGTACTACCAAAACTGCTCGAAAGCTCTTAAACAAGAATGACTAAACTAAAACAGAGACAGACGAAGAAACAACGTCATACTTATTTGGGTGAAACTCTGGGTGCATGAGATAAAATCGAGGTAAAGTTTTTAGCCCTAGCTTTTTGCAGTCTCTGCACACACAGAGACAGAGATACCACCTATTATCACTGGGCATACTGTAACCACATGAAGCATCTGGAGCAAATTATGGGCACCGTCAAGACACTTAGCAGATTTAGCACGGTAAAAGACAACCTTGTGGACTGAGAATATGTCACGGACGAAGATAAATCCTCGCTGCATAGTAGAAGAATCATTTCAGTCTCTCAAAATTGAAATCGAGAGAAGAATTTGTAGAAATCTGAGAAGAGAAAGGCATCTGCTCATTTGGATGCTGAATTTACTCGTATGTTGCTAACAAGTTGAAAACTTGGACACCGAATAAACACATGAACAACTATCGAAACCAACACTTTCCCAACTCGAGGACGGAGGCACTCTTTCAAAGCTCTCCATTTTATTGGCCCAGTGCCTCACCACAAGGATCTCTTGGTCACTACAAATCTAGTGATTTGTGGGCCAATTGACCTTTTGAAACAAAAGCAATAGAATCTACTACAAGTTGCAACTAACTGAGTCATAAGGAGTACACTACTTAGGAGCCATCAGATTTAAAATCATGAAAAGATTCTAAATCATATTGAGCCACCAGAATCTCTTAATGTCAGAGAAAATGAGGATGACTCCAGCAATTACAAAAACTTTCATAAAAACAAGTAGTAAGTTTATTCCAATAAATGAATAGATACAAATTCCAGAAATGGTAATGGAGTAAGCCATGAATTCTCACTCACTTGGACATAAGATTGTGGCAGGTGTTATCGCAGGGGTATGCGCAGTCAATAGCTTTAACCGGCACTCTATCATAATACCAGTCTCCAACAGACACAGCAATTGCCTGCATAAAAGAAATGTAACTTAATCCATGTCTTTCAAAAACTAATTTCATTTCATCATAAATGACTGTAGAAGCCAAATATGTGCATCTTGAGATTTCGAATGCTACATTTAATCATTCAATGAAAATTGTTTGCTACATTTTACTGCCTGTAATACGGTATTAACAGAATGCTTCTGCCATTCTCATTTAACCGAAATATTTCAAATAGATAATTACAGACAATTTTGTGAGTTCAAGGATGCCTCTGCCCCAGATGAGAATTCACTAAAGTAACCTTTTCTCATCTCAAACTCTTACTATGACTTCCACAACCATTTGAAAACATAGATGGGGTCATACCCTGTTTCCAAGAAGAGGAGAATCATCAGCAAACCATGTATCTTGTCTCTCAGACTGGCAGTGAGCGAAGCAGGAATTTATGAATAATCCGTTTTTATTAGACTTTGAGAAATCACTAACAGCATTGAGCATTTGATTTCTGAAGTCTGCTCCATAGAAGAGAAGAGAAAAGAGAAGATCATTATGCGAGCCTGTTTAAGTTATGAATACATGACAATAAAGCAAATAAAATCAAGACAAGCAAAAAAACTGAGAATCACCTTGGAGAAACTGGATCTGGGATGAGTTACAAAGTGCATAATTTCCTTTGCATTCGTTCCATACTCCATGAGGATCAGCAGATCGAGGGGCTAAACTAGCTTGCACCTGAAGAAAACATATACAGGACTTGGGTCAAACTATCAAAGATTTTGTTAATCATTGGGGCCATGAAATACCAGTAAGTCCTTGGCAATTGGTCTTATTAGTACTGATTGTTGTCCTAAAAGTAACAGTCATATGGTTAAAAACTACGGCTTTCAACTATGCCTCTTATAAGAAGAGAATTTTAAAAATAAAGAATAAACAATGCAGTGGCTTGACAATCCAGTAGTTGCACCAAGCAGACGGTGTTTGAGGAGGTATAGATAAATACTGTCAACCAATAACAACAAGCCCTCCAAATCGTATAATGAAAAAAAATAAAAAGAAGATTACCTGCCATGCATCATAGGCTGCATTGAGAAGAAACATGGGGGTCTTAACATTTGCAACCAAATTCTGAGGAAAAAAGCACTGAGAGAGAGAGAGAGAGAGAGAGAGAGAGAGAGAGAGAGAGAGAGAGAGGGGAGGGAGGGAGGGAGGGAGGGAGGGAGGGAGGGAGGGAGGGAGTTAAAATTGTATTCACACACATACCATAAAATTCAATTAAACAGAGGATTACCGAAGTTGGGTCTAGATGATCGAGACAAGTCTTTGGCAGATTTTTTTGCACTTCCTAAAATTCATAACAAATATCAACATCAGAACAAGCAAAGTGACTGGAGAGTTCTATAAAAGAAGCCCATAAGATGACAATTGAAGTCCATATTGTCTGTGTTACTAGTCAACAAATACTAATGTCCCAAATCTGTGCTACTCATCTCAAATGACCAAAAGCAACTCAAACTGAAGTTGTGAACAGATAGCTGCGGTATTGCAATTAATTTGTAGGCCAGCATGACTACTATTGTTGCGAGTCTTGTGACAAGCTCACAAGCAATACATAGAAAAAGCTAGACTAATTTAGAAAGAAATTTACAATTATAATACAAGCTCTGTCCTTCAAAGGTCAGACCCAGAACTAAACCTAGGTTTTTAATTTAAAATTGGAGGTTAGTCAACCATGAAAGCAGAGACTGAAGAACCCTACCTGCAAGCTAACTACACCTGCATAAAAATTCCTTAATGTGTGCCCACCAGATACATCAGTTCTGCAAAATAAAATAAAAAACAATCACTGGAACCTCAACTGAAGAATGCAAATTGATAGAAGTTATAGAAGATCGGCTCATTACGCATCAAGGAACATTCCAGCATCACTTAGACATTTCACCGTGGTAGTTTCTGGAAACATGTCCCGGAACTCATCACAGTGTAGTATGGATGCCAGACCCCCAGCAGAGCATCCAGAAAGAAAAGCCTGAAACACAATTTAGTGAATAGAAAGTAAAAATATCGAAGCTGACTCCCATTACTAAAAGCAAGTTCAATGCAAAACCTTGTCAGCTTTCTGCATTCCTTTTGACATTAACTCGTCCATGGCAGCCAACCATATCCTTTGCCCTCGAAATTGAAGTTGTGCAGCCTGAAAAGGAGAGATTAGAATATTCAATAAGATTTACAATCAAAAGCTTTTAGTTCTCAAAATAATGAACTCTGCAGTCCTCATGCGTTAAATAGGCATTCAGAAGAATGGTTGTGTGGTTCACTCAAGAATTAAAAATGCTCATTCGTCGATGTAGATATTATCTCTAGTTGACCATGTTGAAAATATTAGGCCAACGATGCAGTGACGGGTTCAGATTTGAATTAAGTGAAGCTAAAGGGTTACAAAATGCTTGTGGGTCACCAGACTAATCCAGAATTGCTAATGATTCCCTTAAAGTTGTAGCGGTTATAGGTCTTAAGTATGAAGGTGATCGATTCCAACACCAACCTCATTCTGACTGTCTCCACTGAAAGATGCCCCGTCGCAATAACGGAGCTTGACTCTGTTCCAGTTGAAGAAATCTGCAAACATGCAACATATAAATTATCAATTAAAAATTAAGCACGTGCAAATAATTAACCAAGACAACGAGAGAGGAGCTGAAAATGCATTTGATTTTGATTTGATACAATAAAAAAAAAAGGCAGCAGCGGGAAAACAAAGCAAACCAACGAACCAGGGTTTTGTTGAGGTTTATTGCTCAATAATCCAGTGAACGGTAACTGCTTTTCCATATACTTGGAAGAACCGCGGCGAGTGGTTTTACGGAAAACACAATTTTTGATTGTATTACACCACCCACCTCCCTCCAACTGAATCAGCCAGCTATTTGCACCCGATCCATACCCACCATGAAGATGGTAACCAGGCAATGTGCCATCCAAACAGACTGCCATTTAAGTATTCATTTAATAATTAACAATGGGTTTAATTTAATTTAATTTAAACAATGGGTTATTAGTTAATAAATAAACGTTGAGTTGAATCAATTCAAAAGAGACGAGACGAACCAGCTCCTTTGGAAGCCGCAGAGTCGATAAGAGTGAGGCCAACCATGAGCTCAGGCGCCGCCGCTGCTGCCGCCGCATCCTCCTTGTCGGCAAACTGAAACTCTAACGAAGATGGCTGTTTCTCATATTTCTGGGATCCGTTTGCATCCGCTGCCGCCAATGCCACCGTCACCACCACCAACCACAGCCACCACCACACAACATGCTTCATTCTTCCTCGATCCTCTCTGCTCTCCTCCTCCTCAAGCAAGCTCTCTCTCAACTTGGAATTCTCAAACTCGTATTAGAATTTAGAATTTAGAATTTAGCTCCATATAACTAATTACGCAGAAAATAACAATCGAGTGGGTTAAGTGAATTCATTAAAGTCCAAAAAAGGAAAGAGAAAAAACTCTCTCTTTTTCTATTTTTCTATTTTTCTATTTTTCTTCGAATATGTTCAAAAAAGCATCCGTAAAAGTGGTCATTAGTCAGTCATAACAGTGACTGTGCTTACTGCTGAGTGAGGAGAGAGAGAGAGAGACAGAGACTCGTCTTGTCTATCTAATTTTAATAATTCTCCTTTATACAGCTGTTTCCATCATCCTTTTTCTTTTGCGACCTATTACTAGTGGTGAATGATGATTGCCCAAGTTCAAGTTCAAAGTTAACATAGCAATATTCATTTTGGGGAAGGATTGCCAAAGTAATACGATTGACTAAACGAACCGTTTAACTATTTATTAGAGTTTGTTTGTATCATATTTGACCAATTCTGAAACTACTGAGCACAACCAATGTTATACTGTCAAGGACCCAGAAGAGTTTCCTCCGAACCAGAAGGCCAATTATAATGCGACACGTGTTGACATCAGAAGCTAATCACACAACAACACGTGTCAACATCAGAAGCCAATCACAACACGACACGTGTCAACATCAGAAGCCAATCACAACACGACACGTGTCAATGTCAGAACAAAGTTAGAAACTCTTCTATAAGAGGAGATCATTCTCCCATAATATTTTCTAATGTCATTTGTACTAAATCATTTACTAGTACTAATTAAAGGAGAGCTTAAACTTATGTACTTGTGTAAACCCTTCACAATTAATGAGAACTCCTCTACTCCGTGGACGTAGCCAATCTGGGTGAACCACATACATCTTGTGTTTGCTTCCCTGTCCCTATCCATTTACATATTTATCCATACTAGTGACCGGAACAATCTAGCGAAGGTCACAAACTTAACACTTTCTGTTGTACCAAAGTCCTCACTGATTTTGTGCATTAACATTTGGTGCCGCCTATGGGAACGACACTTATTCCCACTCTCTTCAGTTTTGTTAAGCTGGTTTCCACTATTCGTATACTCTCTTTTGACCAAGCATCCATTTCTAACATGGGGAGCGAAAGAAGCCACAACACGTAGAATGACACCCCCATCGAACCTAGTGTGAAACAACGAAAGAAGGAACAAAAGAAGTTTGCTCTTCAGGCTAAAGTCGATGAGCTGGAGGCTCGGAATAACAAGATAGCGATGAAGAATGAGATCCTCCAAGAGCAGTATGAGAAGGTATTCGAGATGCTCCACGAGGCTAGATATACTAAAAAACATGAGCTCATCACCCCTGTGGAAGTCAACCATCAACTAGGTGCCCCCTAACACGGAGGGTCATTCGCCCTCGACATGGGTATTCCTGTTGAGGAGTGAGCTACTCATCGAAATGGCGACCAACATGAGACTTCTCTCAACCCAGCTGCTTCGACCCGAAGCAGGAAGAGTGGAGGAAGGCACCTCTTTACAGAAGGAGTGGAAGGATCGAAAATCGTCTTTCACAACTATTGAGTGTTGGAAATATGTCCTAAAACCAATCATATGATGATACTTTACAGACATTTCACATGTTAAACTAATCTAATTTAATATCAAGGGCAAAGATTATTGTTTTAAGCCGTCTCATATAAATGTTATATGCTTAAACGATAAGTCCAAGGAATATGTAATTAGGAGAATGTAATTTAAAGAAGTTAGATTCATGAGACCATTATCTTTCGTATACATATCCTAAACGTTCCTGATCATAGGATTGCCAATTGGGCATTGACAGTCCGTTAAGATCAGTATGTGCTATGTCTTCTCTTAATGAGAGTGACTGGTCTCGAGTCATTGGTGTGACTGACACCAAGACAAGTACGTAGGTGCTCAATAAGGAATGAGTTCACTGAACACGATCAACGAAGAGTTCTCATACTCATGTCACATGAGAACTCATGGTTGAGATAATGCAAAGTAGTCCTTTGACCTGAGGCATCATAGTTGTCTTGTGGTTAGGTCCTTGATCTTTGATTATGTCAAAGTCACTCCATTCGCGGAGGTCCACGGCATAGTTGGGGTTAAGCCACTTCACCATGGAGGCAAGTGAATGCACAACAAGGGATCTCTAACCTTCAAACCGTTTGAGGGAGAATACTCAATGATATGATTAAGAATCTCTGGCCAAAGTATGAATGAGATTTAGGAAGTCGTTCCAAATCACATTCAAGGTAATCATATAAGTAAATGAATCACATTGGATAGTAGACATGAATAAACTATCAAACCAAACAATGTGGTCAAGAGTATTGTATTAGAGAAAGACCGTATTGCATTGTAATCCTAAACTGAATAGGTTCTCCACCTTTTTTGATTAGCTTGGGTAACCATGATATACTGCTAGGTGTCACTCATGGTTTGTGGAAGCCCTAAACGTGTATAATCACTAAGGGGAGAATTGAAAGTAAGTTTCAATTCACAATCAATTTGAAAGAGTTCTAATCGCCCACTGCCTCGCTAAAATGAACCTAATGGATTGTACACCGTGTAAGTAGAGATTGAAGAAACAACGGAGATGAGTAAGGATAATTAAATGGTTTAATTATTTATTTATGGCAATGATTAATTAATATGTTAATTAATCAAACGAATAAAGTTCGTTAAAAGAGCACGGGTTAGTTTTGGGCCTCAAGGCCCAATGGGCTTTGAACGTCAAGCTCATTGACTTAAGTTGTATGACAACTTAATGACAAATAATTCACAAAGGCCTAAAAAGCCCAATGAAACCCTATGGCCGGCCATATTGATAAAGGAGTGGGTTTTGGACTTAATTACAAGTTTTCCACTCCAATGAATGTAGGTATAAATATGACTTTATAGCCAAACTTCATTTAGGGTTTCTTTTGGAGAAAAGATGAGAACACAAACTCTCTTTTCTCTCTAAAGAGGCTAGCCACCCTAGAAGAAAATAGCTAGTAATCTTATTTCCTCTAGGTCACTCATTTCTTCATCAATTTTTCCTTGGTGTGGAGACTTAGAGGTTTTCAACTTTGAGAACTTGGAGAAACCAATTCTTCCATCCAAATCCATGGAGATAAGAAGCAAGGAATGAAGGTCCTATCTCTTGGGTGATTATCCTTTGCTTATGCAAAGAGGAATCAACAAAGGTATAAATTTCTCAACTCACTTTGTTTTGAGTTGAGTCTTGGTTCACCTAACTACTAGGCTTTGAATTTCATGGGTAATGTTTTGTTTTGAATGCATGCAAGCATGATTCCGCCTTTAATTGTTAATTGCATGCTATATAGATGTTGCTCAAATGAACATGTTTTTCACAAAATTTCCTTCATTGAGACTTCTTAAAGTAATGTCAAGACAATCTCATCCATGTAAGCTTGAAGATCAATGACCCAAGGGTCTCTAAAAGACTCGGTCCCCTCCCATGTCCCAGGCCAGCTACCAATTTGGGGAAGAGGCAACAAGTCCAAGAAAAACACGAAGGTATAGGGGACTCAGAGACGTTTCGACAGATATACCTTGGAAGTCAGTACGGCGAGTCCAGGGATAAATCACATGTTCTTGACCAAACCTTCGTACTTCCAAAAGGAGATGGAGATTTATGAAAGAAATCTCCAGTGGTACATGACTCCACTCAGGACCCTCTTGTCCTACAGCTTCTTGTCCTACAGCTCCTTAAGGAAGTAAACAAGTTGAAGGCCGAACGACAAGCTAAGATACCTGATTGGAACCAACCTAGGTCTGGCCCTTTTACAAGAAGGATCATCGACACCCCCTCCAAGAAAATACAAAGCAGAAGCTTGGCTTGCAACTCTATACTGGAAAGGAGGACTCGATTGAACACCTTAACCTCATTGAGTCCACCATGGCATACCAGATGCACACCGACGAAAAACGATGTCTTCTCTTCCCTTCCATCCTCTCTGACAAAGCTCTAAATTTGTATTGCCATTTTCCACCTGAGACGGTATATTCATTTGAGGAATTGAGGAAACTGTTTGTTTCTCAACATATTTTCCAGACCGATCGCTTGCACTTTACGGATGACTTGTACACTATTCTCCAGAAGCCAGACGAGTCATTATGTATGTATGCTGGCTGCTTCAGCCATGAGTATTCCCGTCGTGCCGAGGCAGACGACAAGACTACCCTCAAAGCCTTCACGGCAAGCGTACGTGATTGTTTCTTCAAGTACATAATCAATGCCAACACTTGGAAGACTTACTTTGAGGTAATGGTATAAGCTTACAACTATGCCTCCGCTGAGGCAATGACATATCAAGGGAAACCCCCCCCCACACCCACCCCTTATCAGCAAGTAGAGAGTGGAAGCCAGATCCAACCAAATGAGAAGACCTCGACCTTCCAAACGGCAGTGGTGCTTTCCCTTGCCTTACTTAATACTTCGCCAAATCAATAGACATATCAATCTTAGGGCAAAAAGAAAGATTTCAATCCTTACCAGTCTCATTTTAGTAAAAGGAGTAAGGGACACTATTGCGATAACCAAGGGTATTGCCACGATAATGCCCCCCTCAGGCAGTTAACATAGTGGGCCAAACACGTGTCAAGACAGGCCCTACCCCGAGGTATGAGACATACACACCTTTGAACGCCACATGTGTGGCCATTTACCCCAGTATAGCACACCTGATACCGAAGCCAATGCCGAGGCAGTAGGGTTACAAGCCCACGAAGAACACGGGCACATTTTGCTGCTACCACGAGCATAACGGCCATGACGGCAAAAAATGTATCATCCTTCATGATCATATTGAAGCTTTGGCGCGTGAAGGAAAAATTGATCGATTCCTCCTTCACCCTTCAAGGGATAACCGTAACCAACGCTAAGTGAATGTGATATATTCCATAAGTGGCGACACACCCATATCTGAATCTTCCAATAGGGCCATGAAAAACAATGAACGAGCTTTAAGGCCTGGCCACCAAGTGTTTCACATGGAAGACATCAGGAGAGGCAAGTATCAAAAGCCTAACTGGGATCCAATATGTTTCTACCATGAGGAAGAAAGAGATATCATCTACCCTCACAACGACCCATTGATCGTGGAAGCT